ATATATATATGTATGTGTGTGTTTTAAAATATATATATATATATGTGTGTCTGTGTGTTTTTATATATGTATGTGTGTGTTTTTATATATATGTATGTGTGTGTGTTTTTATATATTTATGTATGTGTGTGTTTATATATATATATATATGTGTGTGTGTTTTATATATATGTATGCGTGTGTATGTTTATCTATATGTGTGTCTTTTATATATATATATATATATATATGTGTGTGTGTGAGTGTTTTATATATAAATATATATATATGCGTGTGTATATAATAATGCGTTTATATATGTGTCTGCTTGTGTGTGTATATATATATAATACATGTGTGCTTAAATATATATATATATTATATACATTTTATATATACATAATACGTTTGTGTTTATATATATATGTATTTGTTTTTCCATATGTCTTATGTTTTGCATATATAATATGTATAGTATGTTGTAATATATGCAAAGTATATAATGTGTGTGTTTATACGTATATAATATATATATATATCTAGAGAGAGAGATTGATTTGTGTGTGTGCTTATATATATTGTGTGTTTGATCCGGACACATCCATCCGAAATAGGCATAGCAGTTGACACGCTTCAAAACCCCGCGTTCACAACACCGGAATATGTGTTTGGTACCAGTGCTAAAAAAATGTATAAAACCCTGTACATTCATACCACCAAACAAGGGAATCGCATATTCCGATGTGTCATGTCGACTGCGTTCGGAAATTCGAAGAAATTCGTCTATTTTACATTCCTGACTCGTTTCACGGATATGAATTTTTAGTCGACACTGGTGCCGCCATTAGCGTTATCTCTCTAACAACAAAGGATAATTTAATATCAGCGCTGTTTATCTCCAAGAAGCGAATAGTACCAAAATGAACACATACGGTGTAAAATTACTTATGTTACATTTTGTTATCCGACGTAGTTTTTCGTGGATTTTTATAGAAGCAGATATATAGACGCTTATACTAGAAGTAGACTTCCTCACAGATTTCAACCTATCAGTGAACATGTTTACCAAAACACTGATTGACAACGAAATACAGCTAAAATTCCATGAACGTCTTCCTGATATCTTTCAAAAAGTATCAACTCAGCACTAACGGACGACAAGATTTTTCGCGAAATTCTTCGTAAATTCCCAGGGATTACAACCCCATTCAAACATAGTGACACAGTACTACACAATGCTAAGCACTAAATTTAAACGACAGGACAACCGACCCATTCTACCCCACGGAGACTCAGCCCGGTAAAATTCAAAATTGCAAAGGAAGAATTTCAGCACACTGCAGCGAGGAATAATTCGACCTTCCGAGAGCCAGTGGTCATCCCTGTTGCAGATTTTTCTGTCTGGCGTCCGTGTGTCGATTTCCGACGACTAAACGCGTCAGCATTCCTATACCGCACACATATAATTTTGCGGTGGGATTGAAGGTTATGAAAATTTTCACCAGACTTAATCAAGATTCAATACCAAATCCTGGTCAAAGAAAGCGATATACCATAGACTGTTATCACCATCCCTTTCGGTCTGTTCGAAACCAGAATGCTGTTTGGTTTAAGAAACGCACTGCAATCTTTTCAAAGGTTGATAGACAAAGTATTTTGTGGGTTTATCTTTCACTTTCTCATACATCGTCGATGGTATTAATAGCAAGCAGAAATATGGCCGAACATCTCCCAACTTGTTTTTGAACGCCTACAGCATTTTGGACTGAGAATGAACGTTGATAAGCTCACGTTTGATGTATAAAGACTTTCATTTTTAGGACACACAATAGACGAAACAGGAATATCACGTCTGCCTGAGAAGATAGCTGTTATAAAAAATTTCCCGCAACCAAAGTCAACTAGTCAACTTCGAAGGTTTATTGGCATGAAAAGGTGGAAGATTTTGGTCACACTCTTCACCAAAGTTAACCACACTGACAAAAGCACTCCGAAAAAGAAGGCAAATTATTCAGGTTCACATAAGGACGACATGAAACATTTTTACCATTTAAAAAAAGAAAAGAAAAATAAAGACACCGTATCAGTTGATCGTTTAAAACCTGCTTGCATTGAAAAATCACACAAAAACCTGACACAAATCAAAGCAGACCAGCAGACAACATGCCTTCACCTAAAATTACAATACTTTCAACAGCAAAAAGGGTCGCACTGTACATTGGCTACGACATTTAAACATAAATAACAAATCAGATTTCATAAGAGAATCTTCTTCAATATGGGGGGAATATTGTTGGATTACCGCCCCCTGTTTAATAAAATATCACTACGACGAGATTTTGGAATTATCGTCCCCTGACGATTTACAAATGGCGCGAAATTTGAAAGACTCAATCTCTTTTTCGGTGACTTTTCATAGTGAAAAGACGTATTCTTTTCCCTCCTGCAAAATGTGAATAATCAATTACAGACACTTAAAACAGCTTTAAACTTTTCATATTTCAGTTCATTTCTCAAAAACATCCTGACAATACATTTGTTAATATTTCTTTGTTTAATTTCTATGTCTTATTATTTCTTTGGATTTATACGAATCCACCAAAATTGTTAGCGGGTCAAATGTACCAGAAGCTTATGACTTCTTATCAAAAGAATATAAACACACAACAAGCTCATGCATTCATTCATTTTTACATAAATGTTTCATTCATCCGAGTGTTTGCTCAACCGGTAAAGTATACTACTTTTTCGGTGCATTTATTTGCTTCTTTTTATATTTATCAGGTTTATGTGGCAAACATAAATTCAACCTAGGGTTTCATTATATTTTTCCTTTTTTCGAATACTTTGTTGCACACCCAGATTAAAAATTTTGATAAACAGAACAATGGTTGTCAAGCACAAACACCAACACCGAACCATGACCTAAAAATAAGTAAAAAAAAACAAAAACAAAAAAACACAAGCGGCCAAATACACACAGTAAAAAGAGCTTAATCCGAAATAAAGCAATTGAGCGAGCATATACATAAATATGGTCAAAAGAGGTCAGCACAATACAAAGTAAACAATCACCAAGAAACTCTACACCACTTAAGAAACAGCAAAACACTAAAGATAAAAACAGATAATACAAGACCCATTAAATGAAAAAAAATCACACTCACACAAACATGTCAAATTGCACTTAACTATACATAAATACGAAAAGGTTGCGAAGTATCAGCAAATAAGCCAATAGCTCTGAAGAGTGAGTGCATTACAACAATGCACTCACGAAACTTCGAAGTCAGCATGATTGAAATAACACCACTCAGTTAAGTGACAAGTTTCTTTACATTAATTATATATATATATATATATAATATAAGAGAAAAAAAACGAACTAGTGTGTATAGAAGAGGGGAGGAACAGCTATGTGCTGAATTCTACGAGCATACTGAGGAGGGTGCTGGCAAAATCTGCTGTTAGTCGGTGTCCAGCGATAAGCACCAGACACTTACAAATACATTAAATAACAACACTAGTAATAATAAAATGGTAATCTATTATTGTCCTTATCTTTGTTATTGTTATCACAACGTTTTGGTCGTAGTCCCCTCCGGCCTTCATCAGGTATATATTAATCTGAACTGGAACCCTTTATTTAATCTGTTCTCATTTCACTGCCCATGTTTAGTGATTCTTATCTTTAGTACTGCTCACTTTAGTACACGCCCATTTCCACAGAGTCCAAGTATATACTGCCCGACCCAGGGATTGAACGCGCAACCACTTTATCACCAAATTCACGAACAAACGCTTTAATCCATTAGGCCATCGGATTATTTTTATAATTATTTTTAATCCATTAGCCAGTTGATTATTTTTATAATGCAAATATGTTGAGACGACCTTAATTACAGTTCATAGAAGACAATACAAAATATCTAGATTTCGTTATGAAATGATTCGTGAAGGTTGATAGCCGCTAAACAAATGCAATCAGCCAACCAAAAATACCATTCAGTCTCGTATCATTTTGTACACATTACTTTTACCAATTTGAAAAAGCCCAGTAGGATCAAAACCCTCGGTCATAATGACTTGTGATTGCGTGTTAGCACAGCCATCGACGGCTTCCGAACAGTTTTGTCTACCCAATTACACACAAGGTGCGGTATGGCTTTCGGGCACTTCCCTTCCCTACGCTACCGCACGCTGTAATCTTTTCCCATTGATAACAATATTTAACAATGATATGATAGCTGAAGTTTATGCGTACTTTACTATTTGATTTTATATTTTAATGATATTCTCTCCCAAAGTATATTTCTATTTAAACGCAATGCTTCAGCAGCTGGCCTACGTGATGTTCTGCTTGAGTTCGATCTTCACAGCGTGGGATGAGTAATTGAAAATCCAGTGGCCCATTGCAGCCTAAGAAGACAAGACTTGTGAATTCCACTTCAGACGCGTGTCACAGACCAATGGACAGGAACTACGTGAGAGAGAAAAGACAAAATACCTCATGAGGAAACCTGGGCATGTCAAAAGACGAGGTTTCTTTGCTTCAAGAAAAAAAATAGGACATTAACCAATTTTTTACAGTCAAGAGTATTTCAGTCAGGTTGTCTAAATTTATTCAGTTTATTCTTATTTTATGTCGTGTGAACTGGGGACATAAAACATTTTTCTTTAAAGGCTCATAAAATAATTACATAAGTAATTTAAATGCTTCAAATTTCGCTTCAATGATAATAGCAATGCATCAAGCGATAAAGTGTTATAAATATTTTCTCTGAAATCAAAACAAAAGCAGAGGTAAGACCACGAAATAGCATCAGCAGCTTACGTTTTATTGCCAAAGTTCATTACGTGTGTTCTCCTAAATCCCAGTGGGAGGCATGACGGCTAAGGCATAACGCGTATGTATAAGTTAAAAACACCTGTCCAGCTCTAACCTTTAGTACTTAGCTAAGTATAATTCATTAGACTATGAGGCTATTAGGTTAATTAGTAATTACACCAAAAAGTCCAGCTTACGGCCATATCACGTTGAAATGGCGGTTCTCTTACGATCAACGAAGTTAAGTAACGTCGAGCCTCATCGGTACCTAGATGGGTGACCGCTTGAGAACACCAGGTGTTGTAAGCTTGGATGTGGCTGGTATAATGGATAATGACTTGGAATTTTTAATCGGAGGGCCGAGTTCCAATTCCGGTTGTGTTCGTTATATTCATTTACGCACAAAGACCCTTGGGAAAGTTATGAATCTACCCCTTCTTCCCCAGCTCTGTGTTAATTAGTAAGACTTGTATCACTAAATCAAAAACTTCCAAAAAAAATTAAAAAGATATTTACGTACAAAATATCTACATTTTGTCATTAAATGAAACATGAAAGTTGATAGCCGCTAAACAAATGCGATCAGCTAACCAAAAAGACTATTCAGTCTCGTATCCTTTTGTACACATTACTTTTACCATTGTTCACCCAATATAAAGCCCAATATCCAAGTCAGAGGGTTACACAATAAGACGGGTATAAGGGACTAAATGGAGGGATTAAGAGCATATTATGAGGATATAGAAGATTGATAACAGTTAATCCTCTTCTTAAAGAGATTAAGATCGTAGTTACCCGGGGAAGCATTCTCTCAGGAATCACTCCCACAAAGTAACAGTTCTGGCGGAATATGCTGTCTGAGATTCCTCGCTACCAATGGAATCTGCAGCGAATGAGAATGAATCAACCTTGTGTACATGGCATGGCAGATCCTAGCTGTGAAGGTCTGAACTGAATGTAGTACGTCTGAACATTTGTCATGGAAATAGCGATGAAGTAACTTGAGGCTTGTGACATTTCAATTTGTGGAAAGGAGTTGGTGGATGACAATTCATCCCCCCACAAAAACCACGTAAATGATTTTGAAACTTGCCAAGCCTGGAAATGGGGGACTAGACAGCTTCAGCTCAGATATGGCAGCAATTCTCCATTGTTGGTCTGACCTGACACTTGTAAAGATAGAATATATCAGAAGGAGTTGGGTATTTATGGGAGTTGTACAAGAAACCCACAATTTTCCGACATACCGATGGCCCGTATATACGAATTCCACTTGAGTTCTGGAGTGAGCATGCGTCCCAATAGACTTTTAAAGTAAGAAGATTCCCTGAGAGTACAACTGTTCATCAGGCCTGGAGAAAATTCAGGGTCCGTTTGTTGATGATAAAACGTTATTAGCTTGTTTTTGTTTTATTATTGAATGATACAAACCTGTCTTTCTCCCATCGTTAGGTCAGAAGAGAGATCCGTTTCCAGGCTCTGGCTATTTAGATTTTTGGAGGTGCGCCTGTAAACCGTGGTATCTTCTGAATATATATATATATATATATATATATAAGCTTGTAAACCGTGGTATTTTCTGAATATATATTTACTAATGATTTGGATATAATCTTAGTTAGATCATTGATATAAGGCAGAAAGAGGGTGGGACCGAAGATAAAACCTTGTGGGCATCTGTATTGATCTCATTGGCTTCAGTGGCATAACCATTTACAATGACTTTTGTGAACCTACCAGAAAGGAAGGACTTTATAATTGAGAAAACCCTTCCAAATAGGCCATAGCTGGAGACTTTGTGTAGCAACATCCTAAGCCACAATTTGTCAAAGACTTTTGAGATATGTAATATGATCGCTCTCGTGATGAAATTATGAAATGCTTCATTGATTCTATCCATAGTGATAGTGGACCAAGAGAAAAATGCATACTGTCTGTTACTCAGGTGGTTATCTCCATTGATAAGGCTTAATTCACAACTTTTTTGCGTTTCTTTGTAGGGGTACTCAATCGGGTTTCGAGTTCAGCTATAACTAATGACTCATTGATTTTGATTGATTGGTTCGTTTATCAACCCTTTGCAGGTTATTTAAAGCCAGAAAATATTTTTAGATTGTAAGATATTTTTTAGATAATAATGGTTTAGTGATACAAATACTAATTAACCCATATCTAAGGGAAGAAGATATGGATTCCTACCTTCCCCAAGTGTATTTGCACGTGAGTTCGTTCAAATCGTTGTTTGGATTCATTATGAACTCTGCTCTCAGATTAACAAGTAGGAGTCATTATCCCTTATTCCACTCGCATCCAATCTTACAGGACCTGGTATTCCCAAACCTTCAGTCATTTAAGTACTGGCCAGGCTCGACGTTGCTTAACTCTGGTGATCGTACTGGGAATCGATGTTTCAAAATGATGTGACCGTAAGCCAAAACTCATTGTTTATCTTCCTTTTAAGTCGTTTGATGCAATCTACAGCTGCAATGAATGTTTGCTAACTGTCGTTGTAAACTTATCAAACTTGTAGTGATGTGGATTTCAAGGGAAAATTCTTGGAAATAGTTTACTGAAATTACACAAATTCGCAGAACTAGTTCTGAAATCCCATTGGTCTTTATGTCCACCAATAAAAATATTACGAATGGAAAAAAAAGAAAGATTCATAATTTCATAGACTAAATAAACATTCGTGATGTTAAAAAAAACCGTTCTTAAAACATTTGAATCCCACCATTAATAGATTGATACAAACAGATATCGCAAGCCAATTTCTACGGAGAGATTGATGCTCAAAGGTCATGTGTTGAATCGAGCGTTTGATTTCAAGATAGCTTGACATATAATCCACTAGAGTTGTTACTTCGATCCTAGTAGATAACCTATTATTCGTTATTGAACTAGAGCAGTAATTCTTAAATTTGGCTGGCTGACCCCACTGGGGGTGCTATAAACTGGCATGAGGACAGCAAATATTCACGGGATGAATGCGTTGTAATTTTAAAATGGCAGTTAAGAGGATTTAACCTTTTGAACTTTGATTGCAATGCGTCACAACACTTTGTTTATCCTTTTGATTATGCATTTACATTTTTAGACCTATTTTAAAAATTTAGCTGCAATTGCCATATGTGTATACAGTAAAACATTCATGCTAAAGTTTGACAGTCTACATGATCTGACCCGGTAATCACCACTTGGCTGTTCTCGCCCAGTTTGCTTCCGGTGATTCTCGTTGATATAATGCAATTATTTTCATTGTAGATTTGTGATGAAGGGAAATATGTTGGAGATAAATTTACAATAGAGGATTTCGGAAAAAAAGTGCAATTACAATCAATTTTCGCCTTAAGTTTCGTTCTCTTTTAATCAGAACCGTATTCTTTAAGTTGACGTTATGGACTAACCAATTACAATGAATATATTATTTTTATAAAAGATCTCTCTTATGTTAATATAATTCCTCATGTGTTAATATAAATCTTTACTGTGTACTCTATACTTTCGACTTTGTGCCAAACCTAAACACACTATTATTTCATTCTTGGACCATTCAACGTGATGTCTCAAGCTTGTCTCACTAAATCAATTACGATTGAATAGGGATTTAGATTCTCACTGGGCACTCTATTCTTTCGGCCTTTTGTTTTCCCTAATATTACTTAAAACATTTTACTCTATATTTTTATTTATTTACCTGAGTGCTTTCACTCCTCCAATCTTTTTCTACTAAGTATTATCAAGAGTAATTCTCTACCCCTATTCATTCGGACTATGATGCGACCCCCACCCACAAAGGTCGCAAAAGGGAATTTGTTGCTATTATCTACTGCGTCTTATTAAGAGTCCTTTTCTCGACTGTTTGTTAAAGTTTAGAGCCGCTTTGAACAACGTGATGTTAATCTTCATTCCACTGGTGGCATTAGTTTCCTGATTTTCTTCGTCCTGGGTATGACGATAAACTACATCCGCGTCCTGGGTAAGACGATAAACTATGTCCAGCAGCAAGGAGGTTTTGAGGAGCGTGGAATCACCTCTTAATTTCTGGTGTTCCTAGGTCCACCCTGACCCTGGGTGGTAGCACCTATTAGGGTCTCAGCTATGGGCAAATAGTCAACCCCGAAACTGGGGTAAAAACACTATAAAAGTGTAAAAACAGGTTTTAATACCAGAAATACTTTGTAAAAAAAATTATTTCCAACAATAAATTTTTGAAGAAAAAAAACTATTACCAGCAATACTTTTTTGAAAAAAATTATTACCAGCAATACATTTTTGAAGGAAAAATATTACCAGAAATAGATTTTTTGACAAAACAAAATATTAGAAGCAATAAAAATTTTGTCGGCATTAAATAACCCACTGAGGTTGATATGCCGTAAACCAAACCTGATTTTCTTTTAGAGAAAATCGCCACAAAAATATATTCAGAGTTAAACGGGATTCTTATAGCATAGATACACAAGCTTGATAGACTATTTTGAACAATGATACGAAATGTAAGCGCTATGCATTAGCAAATGAGTCATGTTTTGTGTGAACCTGTTCATAGACTACAAATTTGACAAAGATTCCTGGTAGATGTCTGCTGTGCATGAGTGAAAATTATATTTTCTTACCTGTTAGCATTCAACTGCAAATATTCTGCCAGCAACCATTTTAAAAATATCTGATGCCGTTTGTGAACCTCAACAAGATGGAATGGATTAATGCTGGATATCTCATCGGGTAGCCATTTGTAGGAGCTAATGAACTAGATATAGAAAAATGTAACTATTATTTTGTACCAAATACGATTACCGACACAATTACTCCCTTCAATTCCCCACTTTTATGTGCAGGTGGTGTAATAGATAATTGGAACGAGAAACCAGTGAGCCAAATTGGAATTCTCGTCGATTTTGTTGCATTGACTTTAGTGCAAACATCCTTGGGAAAGAAAGGAATGTAGCTCTTGTTCATTCAGCTGGGCTCTCTAGCCATGGTTATCAATCAGTCCTGGCGTACCACGTTTTGGCAATCAGTCCTGGCCTACCACATGCTATGTAAAGATCGACAAGATCATAGAGTTCACAATGATTGCATATAACTGACTGATTTTGATTTTTTACGACTTACCCCCTTTATAGGTTAATTAAAACTGAAACACATTCGGGTTGTAGGAGGTTGATTACAGTACCGGTGTTCCCAATTTCTCTAAAATTTGATATCTTTTTTTATTTACATATATCCATAATCGTTATCAGGATCTCTTATTTCTAAGTTTAATCACGATCTTAAAACATTACACGAGATTAATAAGCTAGT